CGCCGTCGCCATGGTCGCCCTGCTGGCGGTCATCCACGAATTCTCCTCCTCGCGGGCCACGGCCGCCGGCTTCACCTTCGAGTACCACTACCGGTGCCGGAAGGCCTTCGAGCGGGCCGACCTCTACAAGGTGTTCATCATCGCCATGGACCGGCTGCAGAAGCTCAGCCTCCTGGGTCCCGGGGCGTGCGTCGCCACGCCGGAGCTCCAGTCGACCATGAGCAGCTCCCTTCACATCGCCGAGGCCATCCTCTCGTGGGACTTCTCGGTCATCAGCGCCGGCAGCATGCGCTTTGTTGTGCGCAGCGAGGAGTCCGGCGAGGGCGCCCTGGCGCGTGACGCCAACGCCTCTTTCCAGCCGCCGGTCGAGTGGCAGGGGGTCCTGGCCGACCCGTCGGCCTCGGTGGACCTCTTCTTCCGCGTGCGTGCTTGCGGAGTCTCCCGGCTGCCTGGCCCTCTTTCTTCCTTCTCCTCCCCAAGTGCATGGTGCTGATGCCGCTCCGTCCGTGTCTCCCCGCCCCCCCCCCCCCCCTGCTGGCGATCGCGTGCAGCTTTACGCCATGACCCTCAGCTACGGCGATACCATCGGTCACTCGATCCGCCAGTGCTTGATCCTGCTGGCCGGCCTGTCGGGGCCGGTGTTCACCAACTGCCCGGCCGACGCCCTGGCCACCTATGTCAACCGCTTCCTTCACAACATCATCCAAATCATCGACAAGTATGTGTCCCTCTCCGCCGCCGCCCCTCCACCCGTTGGACATATCCTGCGCACGCTTGCCGGCGCCCCGCCCCGGTCCACGACGCTAACACCATCGGCCGCCGCGACGAACCACCAACCGCCCCCCAACCGCACCGGCTGCGACAACACACAGCCTCCAGTACGCCTCCGAGACCGGCGCCGAAGTCCTGGCCACCTCGCAGATGGCCCGCCGGCTGGTGATGGTCCATCCCATGCGGGACATCGCGCCGGTGCTGGAGCAGGGCGGCCTCCTGCCTCGCCTGGGCAAGTTCACGCTCGACTGCCTGGCACAGGTGTCCAGCGACGAGGTGGGCACCTGGTGCTCGGAGGCCCTGGACGAACTGCTGGCCATGTGGTCGAGCCTGCGTGCGTGCCCCTCCCCCTCCGGGGGCCCGGCCACGCTGGCGCCATCCCGGCCTGGCAAACCCTCTCTGCCCCCACTGACCGATGCTCCTCCTGGCTTTCTCGCTCCGTTCGCCCATGCGCTCGTCCTCCCCTCCTCCTGGTCCTCCCGTCCCGTGGCGGCGCCTTCCCCCTCCCGGTCGGGCCACTGCCCTCAGTGTCCAGCGCGCGGGACGCCTTCGAGCGGCAGCGCCTCACGGCTGGCAGCGGGGTGCAGCTCAGCGACACCCTGGTGTCCGCCCTGTCGGAGTCGGCGGCCACCATCTTCCGGAGCTATGCCGAGCGCCATGTCAACCGGTCGCCGCAGGAGGCCGTCGAGGATGCGGACCCCTTCGAGGATGACCAGTCGATGTTCGAGTCGCAGCTGAAGGATGTGGCCTTCCTGGGCCGGTGCTCGGTGGACTCCTTCCGGCTGATGCACCAGCTGGCGGACACCTTCGCCGGGCAGCTGGCCGAGGCGGCGGCCACCCCCGGCGGGGCGGCCAGCCGGCCGGCCAGCTGGTGGGAGGGCCTCAATGAGGCGGTGCACTGGCTGTTCCTGCTGGCCACGCACCTGCTGGCCGACGTGGTCAAGGGCGAGCAGCCCCAGATCCCGGCCATGGTCATCCAGATCAGTGCCCGGGCCGCGGCCGAAGGGGCCACCCCGGAGGGGGACCCCATCGTGCAGCTGGTCAATGCCCTGATCCGCCTGGCGGACCTGGCCGTCGCCGGGCCGGGCAGCCCGCTTGGGCCCTTCTGCAGTCCGCTGGTGTCGGACACGGTCCTCTGGTTCTTCGAGCACTGGCTCCAGAGCTACCTCTACTACAACCCGCGGGACTATGGCAAGGTGATGAGGTGCGCACTGGCGTCGGCTCTTGCCAGTCTCCTTCTCCCTGCTTTTTTTCGTCTCTCCTTCATCTCGTGTCTCCTTCATCTCATGTCTCCTTCATCTCGTCTCTCCTTCATCTCGTCTCTCCTTCATCTCGTCTCTCCTTCATCTCGTCTCTCCTTCATCTCGTGTCTCCTTCATCTCGTCTCTCCTCCATCTCGCCTCCCTTTCTCTTCATCCCTCCCTCTCTTCATTCCTCCCTCTCTTCATCACTCTCTCTCCTCACCTTGTCACCCTACTCTCCCACACACGTGGATCCCGCCGGCTGTCGGTGCATGGCAAATGATGACCCCCTGCTGCCCAATGGGCGGGCTATTTGGGTGCTCAGCCGGACGCTGGCCGACTCGTACAGTCGGAATTCCCCGGCCCCGGGGGCCGTGCTGGACTTCGTCCTGGGCAAGTGCCACGACGCCCTGCAGCTGTGGTTCTCCGAGGCGGACTCCGTCAACCAGGTGGCCGCGGTGTTCTTGGTGATTGCCGGCAACCGGGCCATGCGCGAGAGCATCTTCGGGCTGCCCCGCTGGCAGGCCCTGTGGCCGCAGCTGATGCAGTCCATCGAGCGTCTGCCCTCCGACGCCCAGTCGCGCTTCATCGAGTCCCTGTGCAACCTGAGCGTCGTGCACTACATGGACGCGCCGTATTACAAGGAGCTGCTGACGTTCACCGAGGTGCGTGGCGGCCGGCCCTCCAAGCGGGTGCCGGGGGCTGCCCTTTCCCCCCCCCCCCCTCCCCCCCCTTTTTCCGGCTGACCCTGGGAGCCTTGCCGCGCCACAGGCGCCCCTCCTCCCGCGACCGCGCATTCCACCCGCCATGGCATTAACGCTCCCCCCCCCCCTTTCCCCTCGCCCGACACACAACAAACAACGGTGACGCACTCGCATGCGGCGCCCTGCCACCACCACCACCACCACCACTGCCACTGCTGCCCCCAACGGCTCAGGCTCGCCTCCACGACACCATGCGCAATCCGACGCACACCGGCCTGGCCCTCAGCACGCTGGACATCCTGCGCGGCGTGGCCATGTCCAAGAGCTCGGCCGACGGGCAATCGGTGTTCGCCCTGTGCTCCGGGCACTTCGGCAACCTGATCACCCTGCTGACCGGGCAGCATGACATGCCGGGGATCGTGCAGCAGGTGCTCCTGGTGTTCGACGCCTTTGTCGAGCACCAGATCGCCTACCTGGAGGGGGACCAGCTGCAGACCACCTGCCAGGCGCTGGTGGCCCTGCTGCGCGCCTTCGCCGAGATCCGCATGAAAACCCGCCGGAGCAATGCCCACGACGCGGATGAGGACCGGTCCTACGAGATCGTCACCCTGCTTCGGACGCTGGCCAACCTGCAGACGCGCGACTTCTCCGACTTTAGCACCGGTACGCCGGGCCGCGTGGCCCCCCCCCCCCTCCCCCTCTTCTCCCCGATGGCTTTGACGCTGACTCCGCCGGATTGGTCGTCTCCTTGGCCCCGGCCTGGGCCCGCCGCCAGGTGGCTCGGACGCCACCAACGACCCGAACCACCTGTCCGTGTCGTCGGTCATCTACATCGGCCTGGAGCTGCTGCTGCCGCTCATCAGCGAGGCCATGCTCCAGTATCCCAACCTGTCGGAGCAGTTCTTCACCCTGGTTTCCTTCATGTTCGAGACGTACACCGACAAGCTGGTGTGCCTGTCGCCGGAGCTCTTCCGTGCGCTGATCGGCACCCTGGACTTCGGCCTGAAGTCGTGCGTTGCTGCCCCCCCCCCTCGCCCCCCTCGCTCCTGCTCGCTGCCTCGGCTGGGCCCCTGCCCCCTCTGCCCCGGGCCACATCTGCGCCCCTCCGGCACTCACCGGCCCATCCCCCGCGCTCTGTGCATGCGCACGCACAGCTTCGTTGATGAAAATGTCCGCCTCGCTCTGGCAGCCATCTACGGCATGGCCAGCTTCCTGTTCAATGCGCGGGAGGTGGCCCAGGCCAGTCCGGAGCACGGCCCAGAGGTCCAGGCCCAGCTGGCCCTGCTCGGGCCCATCGTGGACACTCTGCTGCTGGAGCAGCTCAATCGCCTGGTCTTCGGCAACCACGTCGGCTCGACTTCCCTGATGGAGAACGCCTCGGAGACGCTCTTTGTGTCGATCTGCTCGCAGCAGGTGCGCTTCGCCCTCTTCCTCCCCCTGCCCCTGCCTTTGCTTTTTTTCCCCCCCTCGCGTGTGGCCCTGCCCTCGCCGCTGCCCTAACCCACGGCGCCTCCGCTGCCCACAACACCAACAGGCCTCCCTCAACCAGGTGTTCAGCCAGTTCGTGTCCCGGTACAACGACAACCCCAAGATTCGGGACCGGCTGTCGGAGGAGCTCGTGCAGCTGGTCCGCGGCTCTGGCCCCCAGCCGCTGACCCTCATCCCCAACCGACTGAACACCACGGCCTTCCGCGCCAACCTCGAGGCCTTCCTCATCCACACGCGCGGCTTCCTGCGCGTGATGTAAGCACAGCTGCTGGGCCTGTCGGCTCGGATAGGGGGCTCAACTGCCGCCCGCTGCCGCCCCTCCCCCGCTGTCTCTCTCCCTCCCTCGGGCCACTGTTGCCCACTTTCGTCTCACGAATATAGATCTTCCTCTTTTTCTTACTTGGCTGGCAGGGCGACCTCGCGTGCTGGGCATGGCCGCACACGCCAGACGGCGGCGGGGGAGGGGCATCGAGAGGGCACAGGGGGGGGGGGGGGGGGGGGGGGGGGGGGGGGGAAGTGCGCGCGCGACTGTGCCATGGCCGGAGAATCCAAGCCGGGGCACGATCAGGCAAGGGGCTCCGCCCTCCCCCTCCCCTCATGCCCCCTCTTCCGCGCCTCTCCTACAGCCGGGCCTTCATCCGGCGCTGGCCGGTCTCACGGAAGTGCTCGACCTCGGCAGTGGCCGACTCCAAGCCGGTCTGCTGGATCATGCTGGCCGCGGCCAAGAGGTTGTGGAATGTCCCGCGAGCCACCCGGTTGTAGGCCACCTGGTCGTGGATGCGCAATTGGCGCGCCTGGCGCACGTAGTCGCTGGTCTCGTCGAACCCCAGGCCGGCCGGGTACTTGCTGACAAACAGGGCCGTGGCCACGCTGTAGATGAGGAGCCCCGGGGCGGCTGGCGAGCCGGGCTCCGCAAAGTAGTCCTCCACGCCGGGCGGGTCGTTGGTGAACTGGGAAGCGGTGCATGGAGCCCAGAGGGAGCGGGGGGGCGAGGAGGGGGATGGAGGGGGGGGGGAGGAGGGTGAACGCGGGGGTGAAGGCGCCAAGGCGGGGCCCGGGCGAGAGCCATAGTCAGAAAAGAGCGGCGCCATGCACGAAAGAGGGCGAGGGAGGGGCAGAAGGGCATTCAGGCCCCGGGGGAGGGGGCCAGGGCATGGCACGGACCCGGCTCTCGATGAACAGCTTGTTGCCGACCTTGCGGATGATGCGCGCCGAAATGACCACCGTGTGCTCCAGCGGCACGGACCGCCGGTAGTCGATGGACAGGCGCGCCGTCACATAGCCCACCCCGTAGTTCCGGAAGATCATCGAACCGCAGGTGGCATCGTGAAGGAGGGCAATGGCCCCGCCTGGGCGCGGCGGAGCACGGCACCCCCGGAATCACACAGCCAAGTGGCGGGGTGTCAGGTGCCCATGGCGCGGGGGACGGAAGGCCAGGAGGATGGGCCGGAAAACGGCCAACGGGCCATGGGCCCGCCGCCTGGGGGGTCGGCCGGGGGTGGAGACAGAGAAGGAGAGGGAAGGGACGCACCATGCACACAGCCGGTGGGCCCCTCGCACAGGCGCGAGAACCAGCACACCGTGTGCAGCGGCCCGGTGTCGGTGATGTCCTCCGACGTCTGGCCCTCGGCCAGGGGCTCCAGCTGGACGCTCATCTCCCGGTTCCGAGCCGACTCACATCGCTGGGCGTACTGGGTGTCGAAGAATTTGGAGAAGGAAAAGCGCTCCTGATCCAGGAAGGTCGTGGCCCCGAGGACGATGGCCTGCCGCTCCAGGTAATACTCCTCCGGCAGGGCCAGCCCAGGGACCGTGCGCGCGCGGGTTTGCTCCAGGTCCGCTCGCTCGGCCACGGCGCCCTGTGCACACATGCGCCGGCCGCCCGAGAGCGGGACCCGGGAAAAGGGAGGCGAGGGACGACAAGTCAGGGGCCGGGGGCCAGCAGAAGGCACACATGGAGACTGATGTGCACAGATGTACGGGCGGAGCCACAAATGCCGAGGCAGCAGCAGCAGCAGCAGCAACAACAACAACGGCAACAACGGCAGCAACAACAACAACGGCAACAACGGCAACAACGGCAACAACAGCAACAACGGCAACAACAGCAACAGCAACAGCAACAGCAACAGCAGCAGCGACAATAGCAACAATGAAACTAGAAAGACCCAGACACATACCATCTCGGCCACCTCGCGCGCGTACGGCTGGAAACGGAAGGAGGACAGCGGAACAAAGCGCCACTCCCGGGCCGCCGGCGTGGCCAGCGGGTCCGGAGAGGACGACGCTCGCAAGCAGGATGCCCGATGCCCGACAACCAGCGGGTCGGGGCAGCAGCCGGTCCCCCAGGCAGCCGGCTCGGTTTGGAGCTCCTGCTGGCGGAAGCGATGCAGCGCCGGGGACAGGGCCATGGCGGACCGCGCGCGCAGGAGATTCCCCCGGGCGATGGCGCCCAGGCGCTGGTCCAGGTCGGCCGGCTCGCTACTTGAGGCAGACCCCTGGGGCATGGGGGCCCCGGCCTCCGGGTCCTCGGGCCGGGGGAAGCCGCCGTAAAAGTGCATCGGCGCCCCCGGCAGCGGGGTGGTCAGGAGGGACCCGCGCGCGGCGCGTGCCTCCGCCATGGCCCGCGGAGAGGGCCGCGCGAAGGCCGGCAGCTCCGCGCCATACAGCAATCCCGCGCTGTAGGTGTCGTACCCGGCCGGCGAGGGGGTATCCGGGAAGACTGTGGGCTTTGGCGCCTGCCCCGGGCGCGAGGACTGGCCAGACATGGGCGAGGGGAGGGGGAGCGGGAGGCGTGGCCGCGTGCGGGACGTGCGCAAGACCGGGGG